TCAAAGCCGAGGAAGAGCTGAAACGTGAGCAAGCCCTGGCATCAAATTCACCAAGTGTCATGAGCCCTTCCGTGGAACTCGACGAGGCCACGGGTAACTTCGCATTTGGCCGCATGGCCTTTGGCGACGGCACCCAGCTTTCTCACGACCTCAGTTACGTCCTCACCAATGGCAAACGAAAAGGACCCTCAGACCCCAAAACAGCCCTCCTCAAGGTGCAGAACCAGAAGAAGCGTCTACAGGAACTCGATGCCGATAAGCAGAAAGATATCGCAGAAAAGGAAGCCTGGCTGACTGCTCGTCGCCGCGTTGAGGGGGAGAAGATCCGGGATGATGAGGCCATTCTGAAGAAGGCAGTCAAGCGCAAGGAGACTGCTAAGAAAAAGAGCGAAAAGGCATGGAAGGAGCGTGCTCATGGAGTCCAGCAAGCGCAAAAGGAGCGCCAGAAGAAGCGGGAGGATAACATCAGAAAACGTCGGGAGGATAAGTTGCTTGGTAAGGGTGGGAAGAAGAAGAAGGCTGGCGCGGGCGCCAAGAAGAAGAGCAGGCCTGGTTTCGAGGGTAGTCTAGGTGTCGGACGCAAGTAATTAACTGATTATAACCTGTATTACCCGGTTCGAGTGATTGATCAATTTTCCCAACCGCTGTTGGCATTGGAGTTCTACTTTGCTGCTCATAGTCATCTGGGCTTACTTGTATCCACATATCAATATATCCCAACCAAAACTCGCCATGCTTCACAATTGTATTGAACGAGCTCGCCAACGTAAATTTATTAGCAACAAGTGAAGCACAGTGGTTTCTCAGCATTTGCTCTCGGAATACTAGAAAAGAATATGTTGTGTTCATTACAACAGAAGAATAATGAAAGATGAATAAAAAACATACACAGCGAATAACACGCTTTCTCCCATGCATGCCGCTTCTTTTTGTTCCCAGGAGCCAGAGGAAAGGAACCCACCGAAAGGCAACAACTTCATACAGCAGATGTACCAAGCCCCCAATTTCGTTCGGCCTTCGCCCCTATAAAAAAATTCGAGACCGTATTGTTTACGCAGTGCTTTTTCATCGCCCGCCGCAGGGGATTTTTGCCAAGAGCATCTGAAAAGACAAAAAGACCGGGGGATATTGCCTAACCCTCCCCCGCCAATACATCACAGTGGCCCTTTTTTGATAATTTTCCGGTCCTATGCCCAGCGCCAACCTGTGAAGCACGAGAAATAATAAAACAAAACGAATTGACGAGTTCAATGACGCATCGGCTCAAATTGGGTGCTCCTTGTATACAGAGCTGACTTATAATTGTCGATGCCACCTGCGTTGCTTTTTGGCGATGACAACCGCAAGATTGATTAAGTTTCGGACGTAAGAAGAGTATGTAAGGAGGTTAGGAGGTCATCCAGAGGGGAGGGGAGATGCACGGGTAGCAATCAATCGCCCCTTTAGAGGAGGGAGTCGAGCCTGGTGAAGACGCTCAGACAAGCAGCGACAACCTCGAGTTGTAACTCCTTGTCCTTGCCTTTGCTGATTTCCTTGAGTCAAAAAGTCAGTACCACCGTCTGTCTGCAATTTGAACGCATACATACCTCTGCAACAACCTGGGGGAGGTTGGCGCCGATCCCGTTTCCTGTAGCCTTCTTGCCGAATGGCCATTGGCTGTAGTCGGCCAGCAGCTCGTCGGTTTGGGCGAATGCACGCTCCCGAGACTCGTGTCCAAGGGTAGAAAGAGCATTTTCTAAAACGTTGGCAGCGTAGGCAGCGCACACCATAGCCAGGGTGCGCAGGTATCTGAACTCGAGGTTCTCGGGTAGGAATTGGCTGCCATTGAGAACAACAGTGCGCTGGGTCAAGATGTTGCGCACACGTCTTCGGATTTCCTCCTTGGCACCGCCGTCGGACACGGGGTGGGTCGCCATGTCAAACAAGAGGAAGTTGCGCTTCTCGGTTCGTAGGATGCCCTTGTCCACAAGTCCCTTGGCAAGTCGCTCACGAACCTGCTTGAGTTGATATCCAATCTTCATCAAGTTCCAAGTCTCGCCTATAGCAAGCGTTAACATCAAATACGAGGTGCACTTTAGCAACATGCTGCAAAGGCTGCCTTACCACTCATCAGGTCGATCCAAGTCGTGACGCTCATCTTCTCGCTGTGCTTCATCATCTTCAAGGCCTCGTCCAGGAGAACTTCGCCAGTCAGGGTGTCGTCGATGACTTCGATATTTCGGTCCGCCAGCGGTAGTCGTCTTCGACCTGGGTCCTTCTCCATACTGATTCTGCCACGGAAGGCCAGCTCTATCACGATGCAACCCCGCAGGGCGTATGAAATGTTGTCGTTCCAGAAGGAGAGATAGCCCTGCGGATGATTGTAAGTTCGGTATCCAGGTGACTGCTTCGGTCGCCACGTAGTTCCAGCTTACCTGCTTGTCCTTCAGACCAAGTAGTAATACCTCCTCCATCATGGTGAGCTTTGGCTGTTTGCTTCGTTCGGCGCTCTCGCTGATATCCCGAGGATCAAAGGCAATCTTATGGCCATTTTCGCCACTCTCGTAGCTGGTCTCCGGGGCGCTGTCCCGGGCGTTGTTGGTGGAATTGCTTCTCGAGGGGGTGGTGGGAGTCTCGCCATCGGCTGGGCTCAGACCAGCACCGCCAGCCCCGCGGCGTCGCGTGAGTCCGGAAGACATGTTTGTTGATCGAGGACGGTACGGCAGCCCCGAATGTTTGGCTCAAACACGTTTGTAGCGCTCGTCGTAGGGTTGGGACAACGACGGGTGTGTTGTGTTCGGGCAAAGATGCAAGGGTGTTATTTGGGATGCGGGTCGCTAATCGGTGAAAGCTTCAAAACCTTGGGCAGACCAGACGAATAGCTGGTAGCTTGCTGACGACTGCGAGAAGGGATATTACGCGGCGCGAAATTGGCGAATAAATGACCAAGATTAATGCGACCGGTGGCAGATTAGGGTCCCTCAGCACCGGGTTCTTGGAGAATGGCGGCGAGGATCTTCGAGTTGTCGCCAGCCGAGGATTTTTTTATACAGAGAACGAGAAAAGGGGTGGTTCTTCTGTCTGCACGCACTAGCCGACTATTGGGAATTGGGTGGGGGGAAATGATAGGGTAAAAATAGAGATTCGAGCAAAGTCCAGGATGGCTGGAACTTGTACGATCAAACAGCTCTCTCTGGTGTGTGGGAATTGAAGGGAAAAGCTGCAAGATGCAGAAGCTGGAGTTGCAAAAGGGCCTACAGAAGGGCTGTGCATGCAGTAATAAGGCCAGTGTGCTGGCGTGAATGTTGAGTCGCGTGGCCCGCAACCTCTACGTATTGGATGGATTAGATAGGCCTCGTTGTACCCGACGCCGACGTAAGAGCGATGGTGGATGCCCTGTCAGCGTCTACGGCGTGGGCTAAGGCTGAGCGAGAGACTTGGCAACGCGCGCAGGGATAGTGCACGGAGCACCTCTGATCAACGCCCGTAACAGTGCTGGACGCGCTAGCATGTGCGTCAGTGCCTTCCGGGTAGGCGCTCTGCAGGGTAGGCGGGGCTCCAGGCTACGACATTGTGCGGCTCCACAACCCGGAATTTACCATCAGACGACGCAACGTCTGCCCCTGATTTTTCAACTACATCAACCACAGCTTGAAGCAAGGGCATGAAGTTATGGTAGATCCCAGCACACAAGGTCGTCGGGACCTTGCCATTGTCGAATGTTTCCGGCAGTCTCTTCCCATACTTTCGCAAGCCCAGAGAAATGGAGCTCGTTGGAGGGTAAAACGAGTGACACCCCTGAACCAATCCCTAGGATACCCAACTATTTGCTCTGACCGACCTTGCTAAAACATCATATAGCTTCTACGTATCGTTCCCTACCTATTCTGTAGCAATTGTATCCTTCGAAGCTGTTGGAGCTCAGTTGGAAAATCTGCCCGCCTAATGGAACAATGGCCAGGGCCATCTGCCCCTTCACCACAATGGTGGTTGCAGAGGGAAACAAGCATGGTGGACATGCGGCTTGGCCAGGAGCAGCCTCTCTGAGGTCTTTTCAAGGACCATCTCCCGTTCGTCTACAAGATTGGTCCTCTACGGGTGAAGGGCGCTCGAACGAGACCTAGACGGCTCCCTTAGGGACCGTCATAGGGCCCTCGACGCCCATCGCCCAGCCCAGCCCAGACGGCTGCCGCCAGCTGCCAGTCGCGAAGCCTCTGTCTACCCCGCGCACAGCACGACAGGCCCTGGCCAATGCTCTATATACCAATTTCGAGTTCGTTCTATCGCCAGTGAAGGGGCGAGACGGAGTTGGCCGACCCGTCAAACCCAGAGGCATTTCGAAGCAAGCCGCAAGGCCCAAGTTCGAATCCCTTCTCAGATACGTCAATAAAAGTAATACTTCCTGGGTCAGGGCCAAGGAAGTGTGAAATTTGCGATGCAAAGAAAAACCGAGATGGGTCGCTGTAGCATCACCACTGTGAGAGTCGATGGCAGGGGCAAAAGGACGGGTTCTTTTTTTGCTTCCTTGTTCAATAGTATCATACCTATCTTGTGTTGTAGTTTTTTTTCCCTTCTTCTCTTCTACATCTTGGTCAAAACCAGGCAACTGTGGTGTTTTCGCCCACCTCGCACCAAACAAGGCTGCGCACAGAGCTGTGCACCCGCACACCCTTCCTCGCCCTTGTTTTCGAATCTTCTTCTCTCCAATATGATCTCAACATGTGAACTGGTGGTGTTTTCCACCACGCGAGGCATTTCATCCCATCCTCTGCACATTGCAACGGCCAACGATTTCGTTTTATGCGCGACTTGATATTGTTCATATTATCTTTTATGAAGTCCAATTCAGCATGCGATTTTGATATGAAAAAAGCAACTCTACGACATCGATTAAAAATTGACGATCGATCTTCCACTTCTTTGACATATCATATGTCTGTCCTGCGTAGATTTGCAGGGAAGTTGGATTTGCCCAAAATCTCCCTTGATATGAAACAGTCCAGATGGCCCTCGACAATTTTCTAAAACCAGTCTCCCCAGCCATCAACGTTCTCCTTCACTTGTAGCTCCCCGAAGAGCCGCTCCTCAAACTCCTCTTCCTCTTCCGGCATCTCTTCGTCTTCATCCCCACAATCCATCGCCCGCTTTCGCCATTCGACTGTATTCGCACCATCAAAACCCTCGATCTCAGCGCAGAGCTTTGCTCCACGCTCAGCAAAGATGCGAGCTCTCGTCTTGTATCCGGAACGCCTTGCAAGCCGCCATGCACCTTCGTAAGCTTCAACTGGTTGCCAATCGGCAATGGACTCCTGGTCGTATAATTGGAGCAACTCCCGGATTTGGGAGAGCGTTGATACATCTTGCCGGCGTAGATAGTTGATCTCCTGGATCCGGAGGTCACTCGATTCTCGATCCTCTTCTGGGAGTGTGCATAGGCAGCACCGGCAGGTGAATCTGAAGATGTATGCCAGGCATTCCTGGCGAAGGGCATATTCGCCAAGGTTTCCAATGTATGTGCTTGTTATCTCCTCGCCCTGTGGGATACTTTGTGTCGCATAGATTTCAATCGTGCCCTTTTCTGGATCCCATGAGGAATGCGTATTGGGTAGACAGGAGTGGTTGATCCGACAGGCGACCTCGAATAACCCATACATCATATCATGGTTGGGGTCCCTTAGTTTGATGCCGTTGGTGCGCATCACGAGTTCGAGATCCTCAGACCGGTTTCTATTTCCAGTCACATCGAAGAGCTTCCAAACTTTCTTCTGCTTGGCTCTCCCCAGTTTGTTATATTGTCTGTCGGCTTCTGAAGGGTCGTTAAACCGCAGGTCCGTGTATCGAAAGAGGGGGGCCTCTGAAAGAATCAACTGGCCGCGGGTGATATCCGTAGTCGCGATGAGGCCCTCCCCTTTATTAGGGATTCGGCATACTTTATAGAGAGGATCCATGATGCCAGACTCGTAGCAAATCTCTGGTGACCATCAAGAGTCTTCTGTGTGATGAGAAGGTTGAAAGATGTATGAGTGAGGGGATGAAGTGGGGGGTATTTATATTGAGAGAGGAGAGAGAGTAACAAGAGGAAGCAACGAGCAGGGAAGGAAAGGTTGATATCAACCTTCTTCGAGGCAACCCAATAATCTTGAGTAATAGAGAAATACGCCATAGCAAACAACAAACAAGCTAAGCCAAAGAGCACAGACACCCTTTGTTTGCTGTGTGATCCTGCACATTGTTTGTGGTTGAGTGCAGCCTTTGTCGTGATCAAGTTCGTTCAAGGAGCTTTGATCAATACCTCGGCGTGACATAGCGTGCTGAGTTTACGAAGTGTGAGATGGTCAAGATATCTCGCTGAATAATGATACATTGTTGCAATATCATACATACACATTCGCTATGCCGAACTTTTCTATACGCCGATTCTCGGCCCCTCTCAGACATGGTTTGCTAGATAGGTGTGACACTGTCCGCCCCCGCCGTCTCTTTCCACAGCTTATCAAAGTCAACGCCGTCCTTAAGGAAGAGCTCACGGATGTTCTTGGCTGCCTCTTCCTGCTTCTCGGGCCCAAACCCACCGGGCTGGCTGGACTCGAATTGCACAGTCTCAACCCATCGGTAGAATAGCTTCTCCTTGCCCATCGCCGCAAGAGCATCCCGGAAGGCAAATACCTGGCGCCTCTTTTCGTCTTCCTCTGCCGACGAACTCAGCTTGGTGTCGTAGCAGAGCCAGCCGTGGTCCTGGTGGTGAACCAGAACGACAGTGCGGAAGGCGTCCAGGGCAATATCCTTCTTGTCCACGAGAGCATGCGCGTACACCATGGCGTCCCAGTCCAGGTCCCACTGGCCGTTCATCAATAAGTAGCCGGTCTTCTGTTCCTGCAGCATGGGGGAGGTTGCCTGCTGTACGTATGCCGTGAAGATCCTGCGGGACTCATCATGCTTGAGGATGTCGCCAAGGCCGACATCCCAGTCTCGGCTACGTCGGACATAAATCTCCTTTTCACGGAACCCTACATTCCATCGCCATCTGGTAGGGTTTCCATGAGCGACGCCGGCCACGAATTCGACTGGCCAGGGCCAGACAAAGACAAAGAGGATGAAGTCAAAGAACATGGTGAACCCTCTCTTGAGAATCTCAAATCCCAGCTCAGCCCAGGTGGATGATTCGATGGGGAAGGTGGTCTCATTGGGGTGGCCGAATCCTGACATCATGACCTTCCAGTAATAAGGGAGAATGTAATACATGCGCAAGGCAAAGAGAGCGACGACACCAATATTCATGGCAATTGGCACGAGGAAAAGCTTGCGCTTGAAAGCTGCCGGTTTGGAGTCAATGTGCGCGACGTAGACATGCTTGCTTGAGAGAGTGTCGATGAAGGGCTGGAGGACTTCAGGCGGCTCCTTGAAAGGCGCCGGGGGTGAGCCCTTCTTTGCTGAAGCTGCCTGTGGCTTTGGCTTGGCATTTTTTCTCGCGGTTGCTCCGGCCATGGTGAACGGATCTCGCGGGAATTTCCTGAAGGCTTCAGGTGTTCAATTGAGTTCCAGGCGGAGGTTCGTTGGGGTGTTGAATGTAGTAAAGGGGGTGGAAACTGTGAACAGATGTTCAGTTTTGGCGTATAAGAATTGAAAAGATCTAGCGGGCCCATAATATAGGCGCTACAGCATGCGAACAACAGAACACACCCCGAAGTACTGGTCTATTCTCATTACAAAAGGAGCTGGGAAGTGTTATAAGTTCCAACCCGATTCTTTTATCCTAAGAATTGCCTCACCCTTCTCACTTCCTACTCATCCTCTCATGATTATCATAATTGTTCTTCTTTGCCAAAAAGCCAGTCGGCAGAGCCTCGAAACGCTCCGAAGCGCCACTCCCCCACTACCCGCTGTGCCAAGATGCCTGAATGACTATCGATAAGGCCCGGGTCGAAAAATTGCCCCTCCACGGCTGGCATAAGAAAAAGCCCCAAGTTCGAGCATATATCAGAGCTGCCGGCCTTCCGAGACTCTCTACAGCTCCAGGTCGCATATAAGGTTCCAAGCTCCCACTTCAGTACATACAAAAATATACTTCGCCATGGTTCGGCACAAGAAAGACTTCCATGGCAAGGGCAAGGGCAAATTCCACGGCGCCGGCCCCTCGCGCCAACCCCGCCACCAGGACGACGAAGCTCCCTCCTCCCGCCCGGCGTTCAAGGCCGCCTGCTGGGATCTCGGCCACTGCGACCCCAAGCGGTGCTCCGGGAAGAAGCTCATGAGGCTGGGCATGATGCGCGACCTGCACCTCGGCCAGCGCCACAACGGCGTCATCATAACCCCGAACGGCAAGCACGTCGTCTCGCCCGCCGACAGGGAGCTCCTCGACCAGTACGGCGCGGCGGTCGTCGAGTGCTCCTGGGCTCGCACAAAGGAGGTCCAGTGGAACAAGGTGGGCGGCAAGTGCGAGAGGCTGCTGCCCTACCTCGTTGCCGCCAATACGGTCAACTACGGCAAGCCGTGGAGGCTGAATTGCGTCGAGGCGCTGGCGGCCGCTTTTTACATCTGCGGGCATCCGGACTGGGCGGAACAGATTCTGGCTCCCTTCTCATACGGGGAGTCCTTCCTAGAAATCAATTCTACCTTGCTGAAAAAGTATGCAGCATGCGAGGACGAGGCCGCCATGAAGAAAACAGAGGAAGAGTGGATGGAGCGGTTAGAACGGGAGTATGCCGAGAACAGAGAGCAAGGCGACGATGACATATGGACCAAGGGGAACACAAACCACAGACCAAGTATCATGTCTGATGAAGAGGATGACGACGATGACGATTCCGAGGCAAGCGAAAAGGAGGACAATGAGAGTGTGGATGGCATATACCTGGGCAAAAAGCCGCCAGTAGTAGGCCAGAAGGAGGAGGAGGAGGAGGAGGAGGAGGATAGATACGCCATATCTGATGACTCTGACGACGACGCGGCCATGGAGGAGATTCGTCGGAAGATTCTTGCCTCAAAAACCTTTACGAACCCTACCCCTAATGATAAACAGAAACCTGCTACGATACCTCGACCCCAGCAGCTCAGACACGATGAGGAAGCCCAGCCAGATTCGGACAACAATGATAGTGGCAGTGACGCAGAAGATGATGAATTCGACAATATCATTGAAGCCACTCCGATGACTGACAAGATCGGCCTTTCCAAGCTGGAAAAGGAAAGAGAGCGGGCAACAATCACAACCAGAACATTCTCCTCTAACGTGATTTCTGCCCCCAAGAGATCGTAGAGGTAGTGTTTTACATTAGGTTACATCTAAGAATTATACAGTATCTTCTAGTCATACATATGATTCGTAGTTGTTGTTACAAGTGTGAGTTTCGGGCTGTAGTTTTCCAACCATCCCCGTAGCCTCTTTCATAATCTTACAGTTTTCGTTTCTCCTTGATGACTTCGTATGTTTGGATTTGGTCATCGATCTGGAAATCCTCGAACCCATCCAAACCGATTCCACACTCTGTGCCCTTGCCCATCTCCATGACGTCTTTCTTGACGTGTTTCAAGGTGTCAATCGTGCCTAGGTTTAGTATTAGTATGTTTGATAATACGAGGGGAAAGTTTGCTTTTGAAAACGCAAGTGTAGGTACATACCCTCATAAATTAATTTTCCTTTCCGGAACACCTTGACACCTGATGTCTTTTTGATGGCGCCGTTCCTGACCCTACATCCGGCAATGTTCTTTTGAATTCTCTTCTTGATATTGATAGAGAAGATCTGTAGAATATCGGCCTCGCCTTGGACGCGGTGGATGATGTTGGGAGGGAGGAGATTTGATAGACAATCTTTCACCTCGTCAACGACGTGATAGATGACACGATGGTCGAGTATTTTGACTCCAGCCGCTTCTGCCAGTTGTTGGATGTGTGGCTGTATCGGCAGATTAAAGTTCACAATGACTGCTTTGGAGATACCAGCGCGCTCGACATCAGTTTCAGTTATCAGCCCTGCGCCCGACTGCAGGACAGTTGACTGAACCTCATGATTTCCCAGCCCCACGATACTTCCACAGACGGCTTCAACAGAACCTGCAACATCAGCCTTGACAATGAAGTTCTGGGTCGTTATTCCTGGCTGGGCTGGTTTGCTATCAAGCTCCGAATCTTCACTGGCTGCCAGCTCGGCGGCTGCCTCTGCTGCCTCCTTCTCTCGTTGACGCCGCTGCTGCTCTGCAATATAGATTGAGCTTTGCTGTCTGTCTGCCATTTCTTGGCGGTAATCGACGGCGACCTTGGCTCTATCTTCGTCGGGTGCTTGAAGAACCTGCTCGCCTGCATCGGGCAGTTCACGCCACCCAAGAATCTCTACTGGTGTTCCAGGAGGAGCCTCGCTCACTTCAACACCAGCTTCGTTTCGAAGCCAGCGGATTCTAGCCCAAGTCCTGCCGGCAACAATCATGTCTCCTTGTCGAAGGGTTCCTCTTTTCACGAGGACAGTAGCGGCTCTGCCATAAGGCTTTATGCTAGATTCAAGAACCCAACCTTCTGCCATGCCGTCGTTTTCAGCCCGTACATCCAAAATCTCAGAGAGAGTGACAATATTCTCCTCAAGGTCCTCCATGCCTTGGCCGGTTTTGCCACTGACAGGAACAACTTGCACATCACCACCAAAGTCTTCAATTTCGACACCGTGCCGGGACAAGTCAGCTTTAACTTGTTCGACACGAGCATCTTCCTTGTCAATCTTGTTGATGGCGACAATGATCGGCACCTTGGCTGCCCGTGCGTGTTTCAGAGCTTCTACTGTTTGAGGCTTCACACTATCGTCAGCTGCGACCACTAACACAACAATGTCGGTAACATTGGCTCCACGCTGCCGCATGGTCAGAAAAGCGGCGTGTCCTGGAGTATCCAGGAAGGTGATGGATTTCCCAGATGGCATGTTCACAATAAATGCTCCAATGTGCTGCGTTATGCCGCCATGTTCCTGGGCCACCACGGATGACTTTCTCAACCAGTCCAACAGTGTCGTTTTACCGTGATCAACATGTCCCATGATTGTGACAATAGGGGGCCTGGAAGGTAGCGTGGATGGGTCACTTGGGGTCGGCCGTGGACGAAGATCTCGAGTCGCGCCATCATCAACAGTCGGTTCAAATCCATACTCCATCGAAATCAAAGCTGCAGTTTCTCCAGTGAGAATCGTATCAACCGTCATGTCCTCAAAACCCATCTCCGACAAGTCGTTGAGAAAATTTGCAGGCAGTTGCTGCAGTGTTTGAGCTAAGCCAGAGACGTTGATAAACTCTGGGAGGAAGACCGGAATCGCCTCCTGCGCCTCCTGCGCCATTAATTTCTGTTCTTCTTTGCGGCGTTGTTTCTCCTCCTGCCGTTGCTCCCACCGTTCTTGCGCTCCGTCATCCCAGTCGTCATCATTATCATCGTCTTGACGCCGGCCACCTGAACCGCCGCGACCCTTGGCCTTTTTACCACGACGCCGAGCGGGAGCATCTTCCTCAAATCTCGACTTCCGTCTGGGCTCCCGATCTTGACCTTCTGTCGCCTTTGACGGCGTCCACTCATCAGCCAAAACAGGCTTGAGCGTTTCTTTAAGCGTTTCTTTAATTTTATTCTGGTAACTGCCCACCCTCTGCTCAAGCTCTCCCCAGAAGTCCTGCTCCACGGGTGAAGACTTCGGTCGTTTCTTGTTATCTTTTCGGCCCATTTTCATGGCATCAAAAGCAGCTTCCCCTGTAAGCCTTGTGGAATTGAAATCCCCAGCTTCTCGCTGTTTATTTTCCACATTGTTTCTTCTTCTTGAGGTATTGGGTGACCTTGAATCATCTACTTTGATCTCTGACTTGCGGTTGCTGAACCCACCCCAACCGGCTGGTTTCTGGCTCTCTGGGGTTTTCTTGTTGGCCATTTCGAGTACATTTTTGAAAAGGGACGGCGTATCGCCCCTCCTTTCAGCACCCGAAAGAGTTGGCGACGTCGGTGGGGCTTTCCGTGGATCGCTGCGGCCTTGAGCACTATCAAAAATGTTCTTTAGCAGAGCCCGGGACTTTTCGGCTTGAGCCTGCTGCTCCTTGGTTTGTGAGGCATCCCGTCGTCTTCGGCTTCCTGTCCTCGGGGCCGGCGCCGGAGGAGGAGGAGGAGGAGGAGGGGCCAAGTTTGTCTTTGCGCGAGCCTGCCTTTCATGGGGCAAGAGACCATCTGTAGGCCGGTCGTTGTTCCCCGCCGCCTCTTTCTTTGCAACACCAAAGCCTCCAAATGTATTCCCGGGCCGGCCCGCAAACCCCCCCGGGAACCCGAGCTTTGCCTGGGAGTTGCTATCGTCATTCGTATTCCGGAGGGTTCGCGTTGTAGACAAAAGCTGAGCATAGGCGAAACCATGAGACAGGCCACATGGTCGGGAAGCTTTGGCTAGGTGAAGAGGAGAGCTAGCAGCTTGGGGCTGTGCGACTCTGTGGGCAATCTTGTTTCGACACAGATTGCACACATATGGACGAGTGCGCTCCTAGAGACCATTAGTTAGTAACAGAGTTATAGGTATGCGAATTTTGGCAGCAGCTGATCAAACTTGCCCTCCAAGGCTGAGCTCTCAACATGGCCGCGAATAAAAGACTAATGCTGCCAAAGCAAAGTCTATATGTCCAATCGGAATTATCGCATGGCGTGCGGCCTAGGTCTGAGCTGAGCGGTTTGTCCGTCGCGTGGGCAGTAATTGCATGCGGTGATCGAACACGGCCTTGCAAAAGCGATTGAATTCAATCCCGATAGACAAATGTGGAGAAGAGCTTTATCGATATGCCTCTTCCAGCCGGATAAAGCAATAATCCTAACGTCCCTATAAAAGTGTATATGAAGCAATATTACTAGTAGAATTGCGGAAACGTTATGTAGGAGCATTCTGCGTCTCTAGGTACAGCTAGCCAAGTAGATGGCGAGCACAGCTTGCGAGGATCATTCTCGCGCAATTCACAGTTGGTCAACTTTGCCTGGAAGCATGAGGCCAATGGCCAGCCTCAAGCCCCGCCAGTCGCAAAGCCACAAGCCACAATGAGGGGGGCAGGTACCGTCGGAGCATAGGTAGAAGAAGAAAAAAAGACTGCCATCGTGAGAGCTGCCGGGGTGCTTGCTCCTTCGATTCAGTTCCTCGAATCAATTCTCACTATCTTAGGTACTCAATGCGACTGAAGCTCAGAGCTATTACTACTGTCAATAAACCAAACCGGGGGAAACACACCGTGGCACCACGGATCCATGTGGAGTGACTGTAGCTGCGCAACCAACCGTAAGCTGCCCGCGCAAGCAGCCCAATTTAGTCCATATTACCTTCCTGCCACTCCAGCAGCTTACCAGGTGTTCTTTAAAATGAGAATATCCCATCCCACCTTTTAGCCACAGCTGCCCACCACCACCCCGAGCAGCGGCCCCAGCCATCGTCCCGATTCCCTCCCCTAATAAAGTATACGCCAGGAGGCAATTCTGGCATTTGGTCATCGTCTGCATATATAAGAGGGAGCACTGCATGTCTCGCCTATAACACCGTTTGCCGCGCTCTCAGAGTGTCTAGGCAGGCATCATCCCCGCCCCTCATTCAACTCCACAGACCATCCCGCTCACGACGTCGCAAACCGCCCGGTCGCTCGCTCGCTCGCTGCGCCTGCGCCTGCATAATACGACATTATGGAAGCATCATCTGCTCGGGCAGCGGCCCGCGATCGCTGGACTGAATTCGGCCGGCCAGCCTCCCAGCTGCTGCGGTTCATCCAAGCCGCCTGCAGCCCCGAGAACTACGAGCCCAACCTTGCCCTGAGCCTCGAGATCGCTGACCTTATCAACAGCAAGAAGGGCACTGCTCCCCGCGAGGCAGCCAATGCTATCGTCAGCTACATTAATCATCGCAACCCCAACGTCGCCCTTCTTGCCCTCAACCTCCTCGATATTTGCGTTAAGAACTGCGGGTACCCCTTCCACCTCCAGATCAGTACCAAAGAGTTTCTCAATGAGCTCGTCCGGAGGTTCCCAGAGCGACCCCCGATCCGACCGACTAGAGTGCAAGCCAAGATTCTTGAAGAAATTGAAGAATGGCGCCTCACTATATGTGATACCAGCAGGTATAAGGAGGATCTCGGGTTTATAAGAGACATGCATCGACTGTTGAGCTACAAAGGATATTCTTTCCCTGAAGTCCGGCGAGAAGATGCTGCCGTCCTCAACCCAAGCGACGTGAGTCAACACAGCATCCAACTAATGTTGAAGCTGCAGGAAAGCTAATTGTTCCACACAATAGAATTTGAAATCTGCTGAAGAGATGGAAGAAGAAGAGAAGGAAGCACAGTCAGCCAAATTACAAGAGCTCATTCGTCGCGGGACCCCTCAAGACCTTCAAGAGGCCAATCGACTCATGAAGGTCATGGCTGGTTACGATCAGCGATCAAAGACCGACTATCGAGCAAAGGCAGCCGAGGAAATCAGCAAAATCCAGGCCAAAGCCAGGCTCTTAGAAGAGCGACTGGAAGCTTTCAGCCCTGGGGATACAATGAAGGATGGCGATGTCTTCGAGGAATTGGCAAGCTCACTACAGAGCGCACAGCCCAAAATTCAGAGAATGTGTGAGGAAGAATCAGATGATCACGAAGCTGTGGCCAAGCTTTTCGAAATCAACGACAGCATACACCGCACTGTGGAACGATACAAACTGATGAAGAAGGGTGATATGGAGGGTGCTTCTAAAATCACTGCCGGTGGCTTGCCATCTTCCAAGGCCGGCGGCGCTGCTGCTGAGCTATCATTGATCGACTTCGACGCCGATGCTGATGCAAACGGAGGTGGTGATACCAGCCAAGCACCATCTCAATCAAGTGGACTGGAAAATGACCTTCTGGGTCTGGATATCGGAGGATCATCCAGCAGCTTTGGTCAAGGCGGTAACATAGTGCTGGGCTTTGGAGCAAACCAGAGTAAGTGCACCAATCTCCCTCTTGAATAATCGCAGGCGTCTAACTATATGCAGATATCCCAGGTCCTGCTCTGCTATCTTCATTGACAGAAAACAGCTCTGCCAGGGGACCTTCATCCACCCCTACACCACCCCCAAACCGGTATTCGAACTACGCTTCTGGCTCCGGGTCACAATCCATGACCCCCCAGTCCCTAGGACAGCAGCAGCAGTCCGCATTTGCACCACCCCAACCCGCTGCGAATGACCCATTTGCTATGCTCAGCGGCTCGCGCCCATCATCGGCGCAACCCTCATTTACCGCAGCCCCCCCGGCGCAAGCCGCTGCAGCAACTGAAGATGAATGGAGCTTCGCCTCGTCACTTCCCCAAGAGGCTGCCAAGCCAAGAGAGCACCAAGCCACAATTAACAACACGAGTGTGCGTGTTGACTTCAAGGCCGGCCGATCCTCTGCCGCGCCGAATGCCATGGCCTTAATCTTTGCCTTTACAAACAACACCGCCTCAAACATTACAGATTTACATTTCCAGCTCGCAGTTACAAAGGTATGGCGCCCTTTTTGCCCACTGTTTTGACATTGCTGAAACATGCATCTGCTCACACCTTCTCAGAGTTTTGAACTTGCCCTCAAACCGCAGACTGGCCGCTCTCTTACGCCGAAGCAAAGCCGGGGAATTACCCAAGAGGTTGGCATCTGGCACGCCGGGAACCGGGCTCTCAAAGTCGAGTCCGCCAAGTTGCGTTGGCGTTTGACCTACAAGGTGGGCGAGGATGTCAAGAACGAGACGGGTGAGGTCCCAGAGTTTAGCATCGCCTAGGTATGAGCTCGCAGGCACATCGATGCTTTGTGGATCTCTGTAGGATTTTGCCTCTTTCTCTTCACTCAGGGGAGGATCGGTAACGAGAATGTCTCCGTAACTAAATGATCTGAGATTTAAAAACCAGCGTTAGACTTAGTGAAGTAAGCAAAAGATATAGGTACTTGAAATGTTGAACCCAAGTCCTACCTTTCATGCACCGACTATTTAAGAGCAAGTAGCAGGCAGTCTCAACTTTGTGCCAGCAAGCCCCAGTCAAATGAAGCGTTACGCACAACATCCCGAGTGACATAGTCATTGCATACTTGTTGACAAACTTTGGTCTCATTACTAAAGAACACTTGCTCTGTTTCTCCATCTTGCAAATGCGCCGCTGTCCCTTCTTGACAGGTGTGTTGACCTTATGCCCCTTGAACGCCGAACAAATTGAAAACAATGACGCATGGCAATGCGTTGTCCTACTCTACACCTCCACTCTTATTCTCAATGCCATCGGTACGCCTGCGATTCTCCGTTTTTCTTGCAAAGAAAGATGAAAATGAAAACCATCCCATCGCGAGATTCCCCCATGCCCGTCTAGAAAGTAGAAGACCCCATGCCAATCTGAAAAGAAACAGATCCCAGGCCAATCTGAAAAGAAACAGACACGATGAGCCGTAAATCCATCCCGGATTAATCCTCCATTTATATAACAAAGACAATCGCAAATACCAACGGTCTGGCGCGCATGCCTCTTCGCAAAGTATTTCGGGCGCGCGCATTTTTGGACCTTGTGGCCATGTTGAAAGAGCACCTGCCCGCAGACTAGGCGCCCACCTCGCTCACAGCAAAAGAGGGCTTCGGCGTAGACGCTGATGAATTGTCCACCTGAGCCAGCGACTCTCGTTCTGTCTTCTCGCGTTCACGTTGAGCTTTCTCGGATTTTGTGATCCGTGGTTTTCGGGTAATGGAACCACCCCTAGAGCCTGGGCCACCGCCACGCCCAGTACCCGAGCCTCCCCGAGTAGAGGCTCCGCCGCGTCCACCACGACTGCCTCTACCACCCCCTCGCCCACGTTTAGGAGGCCCATCCTGGCTAGAAGGTTGTTAGCAAGAAACGAAACGGTATTCGAGCCGTAACAGAAATGAGTCACATACCTAGCAGCTGACTTCGGTACCTCTGGGACAAGAGGGCCGGAGTAAACGAAGAAGCCATCACGACTCGCAGCAGCCTGGGCTTCCCATAACAATTCCGAATCATCAACAAAGTCGTCATCGATATCATAGTGATCTTCTTTGAAATTGCGCTTCTTCTTTGGCTTCGCCTGGGTGTCGATGCCACTAGTTCCGCCGTTCTCCGGGTTGCTACCTTCGACGTCTGAAAGGTCGACAGACATCTCGTCTCCAGACTCTCTGCCCGATTCTATTTTCTCAAGGGAGGCAGTTGCGGCTGCAATTCGCGCTTTGCGATCACGGTTGGCGGCAAGGCGAGGGTGCAGTGCATCCCAGCCATACCTGTCTTCCGCAAGACGCATGAAATTCACGTATTTGTTTGTTTCGCCCGTCTTGATGGGAATATTAAGAACAATCGTAGGTGCCTGAGCCTCTTCTCCTGGCTTCGCTCTTCCGAAATCGAGAATCGATCTCCCCTCTCCCTCCTGCGTGATGTCGTCCAAATTGTCAGTCTTTGGAGTTGATGTACCTGTCTGGATTTTCTCCTTAGGTGTGAGCTTCTTCACTGGGCCGTTTGCAATGGTGGCAAAGTTAGATTCCTTGATGACCGGTTGCGCCGCTGCTGGAGGGGGGGGTTGCTGATCCTTCTTCGGTTCCTGGGCAGTAGAGCGTGACGTAGAGAGCAGATCGGAGACTACTCTAGCAGGCTTTGAGGGAGACCCAGATGCCGATGCGCTATCGTTCACCTGAAGTTTGGGTGGCATCGTGATTGACGGTGTTTGACCATTTTGAGAAGGAATTGGCGACCGTAACGGGGGCGCTTGCGGCTCGATGAGACTTGCAATTGATGGTGACCGATGAACGGTTTGGCTGGTTTGTACTCTGGGAGATCCAGAAGCTGATGGGAAGAGATTGTTTGACACCACAGTCTCACGAACCGGGTCATATTTCCCATCGCGGATGGGATCATACGACTGGCCAATACTGCGAACTGGCATCGAATTGCTACTTCCGGAAGCCTGGGCAGGCGGTTCAGCATTTAGGATATTTTGCATTGAGCCCGGAAAGCTTTCACGCTTTGGCACGCTGGGGGAATAGCGCGGTTCCGGTGGTTGAGGCGCAGACTTCGAGTTGAGACCTGGTGAGGGATGCGGAGTCTCAGCATGTTGGTCTCCAAGAGCCAACACCTTAGGAGATCGTCCAGCGGATTCGGCAGATTGGGCATCAGCAGGTGCGATCTTCCTCTTCCTTTGGACTGGCAGAGCATTAGGGTCACGGGGCTTTCTTGGCTTCCGGACCTTGGCTTGCTCTGGCTGCCCAGGCTGTTGTTGGTCAGCTCCATCTGGGGTTCTGGTCTTGCCACCTGCACCTGGCTTACGACCCGGCTTCTTGCGCGGTAAGCCGGCGGCGGTTAGCTGAACCCAAAGACCGTCCACTAGACCAAAGCGTTTTGCTGGCCCATTTCCTTCTGCAGGGACTGTCTGGATTTGCTCATATTGGGGAGCAGATTGACGTTGCCCACGGTTTTCATTCTTCACATTAATCTCGACCGGGGCGTTACGTGGGAGACCAGGCTGGCGGGATGGTGACCCAGCCTCGGATGAGAAGCCCGATGGGGGTGATGAAAGGTCGCCTGCCGAGGACTCATAGCGCGCCGAAGCATCCATACCCGCGGCCACTCGTGGTCCTTTGGAGTTCTCGGTGTGCAAGCAACCACGTATGAGGGCAAAGAAAAAAAATTATTAGGTTGCGATAAAACAAATGAAAGAAAATGACAGAGACGAGAGGGCTGGTTGCGCTGTACGCGAAGGGCTCAGTCTCTCATTCCTCTAGCGATAAAGGCCGTGTAGAGAGGAGTGTGTACCCAAGATGCAGTACGTATCAATTGCTGCCAACCATACAATGAGGGCTACTGGATTTCACAGAAAAGGATTAATAAAATACGTTCTTCCACAGTGCTGCAACGAGTGAAGAGTCGCACTTGAAATAGCAAATGCCTCCAATCGCCCAAAATACTCAGGGTACACGGGATGGAGTGCAGGTCCTTGGCACGTATTGGTGGAAGTGACGCGATGCGGAAGATGGGGCGAGATTTTCGCAGGTGGGAGAGTGGGGCCTGGGTGCTGCGAATAGCCTCACAAACCACCAGGTCGGTCAGGCGTAGAGGGGACGGGACCACCAGGTCTTTGGGGTTTGACGCGCTGTAGGGGATCGAGATGAGGGGTATAGGCCTGCTAAAAAGGTGCAAAGAGTGCACCGGTCGCGGATGCACAAAATGCAGCTAAATTTGAGATGCCGCGCGCCCGTAATAATGACGGATTGATGGAAGTTGGAGAGAAAGTTGGTTGAATCGGCGGGTTTTGGTGATGGGAAATGGTGGAAAGAAGGAAGTTTGGGAAAGGGGGCGGGAAAATGGGAATGGGGGATGGGAATGACTTCGGTTTTTTTTTTGGAGGGGGCGACAACAACTACGAACATTGAGAAATACATTTCCTATTTCCCAGACTGTAGGGAAGACGAGAAAAAACGGGGCACGTAAACGGACAGGCAGGAGCAAAGTAGGTACAGGCAGGAGCGAGCCGGTGTCAGGAAAAGAGCAATTGGGAACCAAGTCGGCAGATGCAGGTCACAAGCCGGGGGAATGAGTCGAGAGTCAAGACACCAAGCTTCATTGTGAAGAGCCCCGTGGTCAAAGGTGGGAAAGCTTCAGCCAACCAATGAACCAGCTCGGGGTGAGCATTGACAGCAGGGGTGTGGGCGGGCTACGTCTGCGGCTAGAACGCAAGCTCGCAATCAGAGGACCACCAGCAACCCCCAGAGTGATACGGCATGACCGCCTAGGGCTAGTGTGAGACTTCCGAAGCCAAGCAAAATTGAGACGAGGATTCACAAACGGTACGTTTCCAGAAAGGGAGAGGTTTATCTTAGACGACCAGATATGCAGGAAAGTGGGTCTGGCCAGGAACAAGCAATGGCAATTGTGTTTCTCCACACTTATGGGAAGCAGGGGCTAATCGGAGATGCACTGCGACTGGCCCGCAGAAGCGCTACGACGCGGCTATATGGCCCGATAAGCGCGGTCAATTGTGCATGCAAAGCCAGAAAACGCCTTACTTCGCGACAAGGATTACGAGCCCTACCAAACGCATACGAAGAGAACACCAGATAATGTCTTGAAGCGGCGATTGGAAAAAACTCGATATCGCCTTCTTAGTGACAGTTTTTCCATCAGCATAATTGTTTTCTCAACTTCGCTTTGCTCTCTGTCACCGTCCGCGAATGTGACTGGTAACGCGCTCGGGCTTACGGAGATGAAATTATAGGCCTCGCTCAGAAAATTATGCTGTCATTGCATAACTGGTATGGGCCCTCCAAATCGCATCCCCTTGAAATCTCGCACTGCAGCTAGTAAGGTAGCTCCCAACCTTCTGTGGCAGATATGTACAATGACCCTGGTTCTCGAAGCCTGCAACTCGAGAGCACAAAGATCGACGCTAATGCGACTCCACATCTGTGGTGGTACGTACATAACTCCCTTCATTGCCGCCTCATAAACGAAATTGCCCATAATATTTCATGAAGAAGCAATAGGCATGCAGATAGGCTGAGTACATGAAAATGCACCTGCTGATTCCATGTGAATCACCTCATTCCGCTGGGCGAATGTATAGAGTTGATTATGTGATCAAAGCTTCAGCCTCAAATAGGCATTTGCCGCCAACACGCCACATGTACCACAAGTACCAATGTCGCAGAAATGAAACAAAAGAGCCTAAGTTTCAACCCAGGGGTTTCTGTGCTTGCGGGCTACTACATGCATCATGCTCTACATAGGTATGTACGTCGCACCAAAGGCCCCTGTATGTCAGCTGCTTTGCAACCATGAGGTAAGTATCTGCCTTCATACTCGGTGGGTAATCCAAGCTCAACTATTGTGCCACCCAAGTGGGTGACCGGAGAAATGAGACATTCAATGGAAGGGTGGTTACCTACCTTAGGTATGAACAGACTACTTTCTACGATGAACAGCAAGATTCAGAAGCATGAAAAAAAAGTAGCAATACAGACTGTATTATTTCTCGAGTATATATTCTTAGCACTCAATAATGTAATAATACCGGTCGTAGACTCGAAAATAAACAGCTCAGTGTTTGAGTGTCTCAATTTCAATGTAACCCTTCTATCCCAAAAAGTGGTATCCTGAATGCTGACAAGGACATGGGTGCCTCAGAAGTACTACCAGTAGCGCAGCCATTTAAGGCAGGGAGATGCGCTCCTAGCTCCCTTTAGTCATTACCTACCTCAAAGTACCTTCTAGCGGGGCTTGCTCTCCACTTTCATTTTTTTCAATCCCATCAAGTTTAAACCAACACTCAGCTTCATCATCTATCCTTCATTACCTACACAGCAGCCGAAATGGAGCCGGGTTTGCTCATAGGCGATGTTGTGGAGAGAAAGACAGGCGCGGAGGCAAATGTTGAATTCACCGACAATACGATCTCATCAACCGGGTTTCCCCAACATAAACGCAGATGGAAATCCTCGGCCTTCAAACAAAGTCGCTCGCAAGATGTAAACGAAGGCGATGTATCTCCAGCGGCAGGGAATTCTCGAAACGAGGGGCCAAATGGCGGGGCAAGGGAGAGCGGCCATGCCTCTAGCTTCGAAGAGGTTGAACGAAGGCGCATCGACCACGAAAACCGTCAGAAAATCGACGACATGACACCAAAGGAGATTGCACAGGCTCAAAGAGACATTTTGAATGGGATGAATCCCGCATTAATACAACGTCTCCTTCAGCGATCGACAATTGATGATCCTGAGCCCAACATTTTCGAGCTGACTCAAAATGAACAAAATCAAAATTCGTCAACGGCAACGCCTCCCGAGATTACTGTATCAGCCCCCGACCAGCCAGCAAAGGCTTCCTCCCCTTCAACCGAAACGCCAACCGAAAACCCCCCTCCCTTGAAACAGAAGAACATCGCGGACGATTATGATGAGGACGCTGAGCCTCCTCAACTCCCTGATTTGTTTCCTATCACAGATCCTCCGAAATCAACACATTTCCCAGCACCCCCACAAGTTCCAGACCTTGACCCAGAAGACCCCAACTTCCTCCAGAATTTGCACGAAAAATACTTTCCAGAGCTGTCCTCTGACCCTAGCAAGCTGGCATGGATGGCACCGGTACCAACCCCAAATAGCGTTGCCGACAAAGAATCCCCATACTACCCCCATCCAGAAATCGCCGTCTCTGCTCTGAGATTCGATTTCCGTGGTCGCTTCCTCTCGCCGCGGGTCAGCCGAACGATTCCCTCTTCCGTGGGGCTCCATCATCATGGCGAGGCTCCAGAGGCTGCTGGTTATACCATTGATGAACTCTCACGACTAGCTAGGAGCGCTGTGCCGTCTCAGCGCTGCATAGCTTTCCAGACCTTGGGGAGGATTCTTTTCCGACTGGGGAATGGCGAATGGGGTAAGACTGAAAACGATCCCATCGCCATGGGAGTGTGGAGCTCAGTGAAGAAGGGAAGAGCCATAGAGTCCTTAAGCGAAGCTGCCACCGTTGAGGGCGGCCATCGAGGAAGCCAAGCATACGCTACCGAGGCTTTGTGGCTATTTGAAAAGGGCGGCTGGAAAGAAAAATTTAAAGGAAGGTGAAAGCTATATGAAGAGGAGACGATCTCACAACTGGGCAGTAACCTAACCGCTCACGACCGTACCCAGAGCACTCTGCAGTACTTACTACAGTGCATCTCGTGTGTTGTAATGTTGTCGCCACCTGTATCAACTCATACTTGTGTGTAGCTGAATCACAGGTGAAGATGCAAATACTGAGGAAATGATGGCTGTTGGTACTCGGGCGTATACAGTGTGCCGCTCTGCGTCCCAAGGCTTCGCATATTTAGATCCTGCGTATTACTGGCAAACGTATTGGCATGCGGACCTCAGGGCAACCATTAGGCAGTCGTGCATGAAATTGTTGGCAACAAAGCTGAAAATGGTATGTTCAGGTTCCCGCAAACCATGATTGGCTACGTATAAGACAAACCCGATCAGTAGAGGCTCAAGGGCATCCCCTGAACGACTGTAGTTCTCCCGAGTACAGAGGTAGGCTCCAGTTCTGCTCGTAACGAGCGGGAATGTGCCCATATTGGTGTGTGAGACGGGTACAAACTGCATGTAATCTCACACCACCCTCTCCAGCTCTGTGTAAGACACCTCCCAACGTACGTAGACCGAGGGGCGCCCCGTCATCAAAGTGCAAACAAGCCATGGGCAATATCTCTGAATCAAAAGCGATCATGCAGCGATGCACGGCTGTCTCGTGACACATTACCAGTAAAGGTTGGGAGCAAGCCTCTCTTGTCTCACGGGACACCAAGGGGAAAAAAACCGACACAGCTCAATCACCAGTAAGCTTGGATGTACCCAACACAGCTTGCGCTGCCATTGGAGAGACTCGGCAGTAATCCGTTTTTTGCACCGTTCGTTCCCAATCACATGGAAGCCACAAACCGCCTTGATCCACTAGCTGGCATTGCAGCCCGATAAGAGTTCAACAGTGCAGCCCAGAACTGTGCGTACGCACTTACAAGCCTGGCTCACAGCGGCCAAGCGGAGTCTGATGTGCATGTCCCATTGGTTACACTGCTGAACTGAC